ATCGACTTAGAAAGTGATTCTATGCATATTCTCAAAAGGCACCATGTGTCTATCTCGTTTCCTTTTGCTCTGTTACAAACATATGCACAAAGACAATACCCTGTACCACAGTGTGGTGAAGGGTATAAAAATCCAAGCTTATGGTTCTGAAAGTCCTTAGAAAACTGTTCTTCAAGAAATCCAAGCTCTGACATTCTTCCGAAAATATTCCTTATCATTACTTATGGCTCTGATAGTCCTTAAGAAAATATTTTTAAAAAAATCACGACTATGGCTTTGATAGTCCATGGAAAATTATTCTTAAAAAAATATCAGAGGAGAGCACACTTCGAAAATTCTATATTCATGACATTAAAAAAAAAGCCAATTAAATGTCATTCTTCTGACGAGCTTGCCAATATCGTAAATTTATTTTGCAGTTACGGTTTGTACCCCGATAAGATTCCTATATGCCGTACCAAAAATTACCTTCTCTAGTTACAACTACCACTATTACTTTATCGTGACTAATAAAGTTTTTTTTTTTTGCTTTTCCACAAGTCATTTAGGTTGAGCAAACAATGATACAATTTATATTCTCAGATCTTCATAGCAGTTTTTGTTGTTAAACAAAAACATTCAATATTTACTTAAATGTTTTTTGTATTATTTCATTTCTTAACGGTCAGAATGGCACTACAGAGTTTTTTTACTATTTAAATTAATTAATTCGCAAAATATTGGGGGGAAATTTACCGCCTTTTATCTTTACACTATCTCCTTTATATAGGAAATTTAAATAAATATATTTTTAGAGATAAAGGGAAAATAAGAAAAAAATGATTAAAATTTTGAAAACAAATTCTGGGGAATATCATTTGCAAATTTCAGTTTGAAGTGTTAACAAACGTAATTTCATTAGTTGGTGTAATTTTTATTTTTTTTAATAATTTTTTTTTTTTTTTTTGTTTTCCAGTGATCGTTTTGTCTGCTGAACTCAATACACAATGGAAATAACAAGAATTCTCACATTACTTGGTATTGTAATAATGGCTATTATTACATTTTATGCCACACCGGCAGATGCATGCATGTGCTTACCCAGCCATCCCCAGACACATTACTGTGAAGCAGATTATGGTGAGTAAGAAATTAATTCTTTGTTTAAAAAAAAAATTAAAAAAATTTCTTTAAAAAATCGACACCTATTATAAGCTTGAAAAATAATCTTTAAAAAATCCACGCCTTTTGTAGAGCTTGAAAAATAATCTTTAAAAAATTGACGCCTTTTGCAGACCTTGAAAAAATAATCTTTAAAAAATCCATGCCTTTTGTAGAGCTTGAAAAATAGTCTTTAAAAAATCCACGCCTCTTGTAGAGCTTGAAATAATATTCTTTAAAAAGTCCACGACTTTTGTAGAGCTTGAAAAAATAATCTTAAAAAAATCTACGCCTTTTGAAGAGCTTAAAAAAATAATCTTTAAAAAATCCACGCCTTTTGCAGAGCTTGAAAAAAAAATATTTAAAAAATCCACGCCTATTAATATTTATCTCTCTTTCTTCTGTTTTCAGTCGCTCTCATTCGGGTAATGCGTAAATCTTCAAAATTGGTAGCTGGAAAAATTGTCTACAAGGTGGAAGTGAAGAAGTCCTACAAAGTAAGTCTAACAAGTACATCTCTATAAACATATATATTTTAATTATGCCCTTCACCACACTGTGGTACAGGGTATTATGTCTTCGTGCATATGTTTGTAACAGGCACAAGGAAACGAGATAGACCCACTGTTCCTTTTGAGAATATGCATAGAATCACCTTCTGAGTCGATTTATGCATGTCCGTCCGTCCGATTTGAGGTAAATGGTGCACCTAAGTCTCTATATATCTTTCGATTTGCACGAAATTTGGCATAACGTGCTGAATTGAGCCTAGAATGATGTGCTAAGTTTCGTGAAAATCGGTTCAGATTTAGATATAGTTCCCATATATAGTTTCGTCCGATTTAAGGTAAATGCTGCACCAAAGCCCCGATATATCTTTCGATTTGCACGAAATTTGGCATAGGATACTGAATTAGGTCCAGAATTATGTCTGCCAAGTTTCGTAAAAATCGGTCCAGATTTAGATATGGCTCCCATACATAGTTCCGTCCGATTTTATATAAATGGTGCGCCAACGTCCCTATATATCTTTCGATTTGCACGAAATTTGGCATAAGGTACTGAATTAGGTCCAGAATGATGTGTGCTAAGTTTCGTGATAATCGGTTTAGATTTAGATAAGCTCTCATATATAGTTTCGTCCGATTTAAAGTAAATGGTGCACCAAAGTCCCTATATATCTGTCAATTTGCACGAAATTTGGCATAACATACTGAATTGAGCCTAGAATGATGTCTGCTAAGTTTCGTGGAAATCGGTCCAGATTTAGATATAGCTCCCATATATAGTTTTGTCCGATTTAAGGTAAATGGGGCACTAAAGTCCCTATATATCTTTTGATTAGCACGAAATTTGGCATAGGGTACAGAATTAGGTCCAGAATGATGTGTGCTAAGTTTCGTTAAAATCAATTCAGATTTAGATATAGCTCCCATATATATTTTCGTCCGATTTAAGGTAAATGGAGCTCAAACTCCCTATATATCTTTCGATTCGCACGAAATTTGGCATAGGGCACTGAATTAGGTCGACAATGATGTCTGATAAGTTTAGTGGAAATGGGTCCAGATTTAGATATAGCTCCCATATATAGTAAATGGTGCACCAAAGTCCTTATATATGTTTTGATTTGTACGAAATTTGGCATAGTGTACTGAATTAGGCCCGAAATGATGTGTGCTATGTTTCGTGAAAATCGGTTCAGATTTAGATATAGCTCTCATATATAGTTTTGTCCGATTTACGGTAAATGATGCATTAAAGTCCCTATATATCATTCGATTTGCACGAAATTTGGCATAGGGTACTGAATTAGGTCCAGAATGGTGTGTGCTAAGTTTCGTGAAAATCGGTTCAGATTTAGATATAGCTCCCCAGATTTAGATATAGCTCCCTATATATCTTTCGATTTGCATGAAATTTGGCATAACGTACTGAATTGAACCAAGAATGATGTCTGCTATGTTTCATAAAAATCGGTCCAGATTTAGATATAGCTCCCATATATAGTTTCTTCCGATTTAAAGTAAATGGTGCGCCAAAGTCCCTATATATATTTCGATTTGCACGAAATTTAGCATAACGTACTGAATTGAGAATTGAGTGATGTCTGCCAAGTTTCGTGATAATCGGTTCAGATTAAGATATAGGTTCCATATATATTTTCGTCCGATTTAAGGTAAATGGAGCTCAAAGTTCCTATATATCTTTCGATTTGGAATTAGGTCCAGAATGATGTGTGCTATGTTACGTGAAAATCGGTTCAGATTTAGATATAGCTCTCATATATAGTTTTGTTCGATGTAAGGTAAATGGGGCACCAAAGTCCCTATATATCTTTCGATTTGCACGACATTTAGCATAACGTACTGAATTGAGCCTAGAGTGATGTCTGCTAAGTTTCGTGAAAATAGGTTCAGATTTAGATATAGCTCCCATATATATTTTCGCCCGATTTACGATAAATGGTGCACTGAAGTCCCTATATATCTATCGATTCGCACGAAATTTGGCATAGGGTACTGAATTAGGTCTAGAATGATGTCTGCTAAGTTTCATAAAAATCGGTCCAGATTTAGATATAGCTCCCATATATAGTTTCCCCCGATTTAATGTAAATGGTGCACCAATGTCCCTATATATTTTACGATTTGCACGAAATTTGGAACAGGGTACTGAATTAGGTCCAGAATGACGTGTACTAAGTTACGTGAAAATCGGTTCATATAGATCCCATATAGGATCGGTTAGATATAGATCCCATATGGGATTAATGTTAGTCGGTTTACTTATAGATAAAGTTCGCATATTTAAGTTCGGATACAAATGTATAATGTACCCAAAGTGGTGAAGGGTATCATAAAGTCGGCCCAGTCCGACTTTACTACTTTCCTTACTGATTTTTTATATATTTTTTCCCAATTTTCAGATGACCCAAGAAGGCCAACGAACCTTAAAGCATGGCCGCATTATGACTTCGGCTCACGACAGTATGTGTGGTGTTAATTTGCAGCTCGGACGTCTTTATGTAATTGCCGGCCGAGGTGATCAATTGAATATGTGTCATTATGCCAAGGAATATAAAAAGATGAGCATTATTGAGAGGACTGGATTTACCGGGGCCTATAAGAAGGGATGTGGATGTCAGGTAATAGATCAAAGACCAAAATAAAATTTTAATATTGGAAATTTTTTTAATAAAGAATAATTGAATAATTAATGGAATTTATTTTTCGTTTCCAGATAACTCCCTGCTTTGGAAATCGTTGCCTGGACTATGACCAGAAATCCAATGTGTGTCAATGGTCACCATTTGCTAAATGTGAAACAGATTACAGTGCCTGTATGCCCGCCCGAGCCCGTTCACCATTCAGTGTTACAGAGCCAATGCTTAAATGTCGCTGGCGAAGAACTGTCCAGTATGATGAGTGTAAAATGAATCCATAAAGAAATGGATTCGAAGAGAAAGATCGGGGGGTGTCTTGAATCACTTGAATCTTCATTATGTGCCAAAACATGCTGTCATGTTTTACAAAAAAAATTCAATTGTTTGTCTATCCATTAGTTGTAGTCGTAATGTATTTGTGTAAAATTGTATTTAATTTATTTTAATGTTTATTATTTTTTAATAGTAATGTAAGTCCAAAAAAATAAGAACCAAAACAACAAAAAATCGAAACAAAAACAGAGAAATAAATGTTATGCGAAATATTAAAATCGGCTTCCTATAATTTTTTAAAGAGGAAACTTTAAGACCTGCATTACACGAGTAGACCTAAGAGTATGATCATAAGAATATTTTTTACAGAACATCACTATTTTCAATAGTTCAGAAAAAATCAGTTTTCAGGTCAAGAATATCATCGACCCCGTTCGAACTATAAATGTTTTTAAATATTTTTGTTTATAGGCTTTATTTGTACTTACCAAATATTTGGGTGATGGGAAGAATGTCTGCTCGATCAGAGGGAAATTTTCTTTACCCAAACGGCGTTGCAGCTGCTGCAAGTGAGCAAATACCCAAGGTTTATCCTGAAAAGAAAAAAATATCATAAATTAATATGATATGATAAAGTTGTAGAAATATAAAAAAAAAAACAAAAGTGCCAGTCGATGTTGCCGAGAGATATAAACCCTCAGCCTATGACATATGCAATATACACTAAATTCTGACTTTTGTATGCTATTCTGGTTTTCGGAGGCCTTCGGAATTACTATTTAGTGTCGGAGTGGAAATTATATTTCAAAATTGTGATGGATTGTGGGGAAGTACTCGAGATGATGGACCTATATGGTCGATAGCTGCATACGATCTATAGTTAATATAAATATTAAGGTCTGCCAGATTTGCTTTATATTAAGATAGATTTGACCATATGCGACGTGGAGACGTGGTCATATAGACCCAATCTTCTAATTTTATATAGGAACCATTAAATGTACGTGCAATGGTTCAAATCGTTTCAAAATGTCAAAGAGTGGACAAATATTCCACATCTTCAGCCTTAAGTTTGAAAAAAATCATATCAAAGTGTATATTTTCTGATTAGTCATAAGCCTGAGAATATAAAAATAAAATCAGGACAACAAATGTCCTACCATGGAATCTTGATTTTATCGTTTTCAAGTTTATAAATTCTGGCTTTACAAGCAACTTCTTCATCCTAATGAAACTCTAAGCCTATTTGTGTGCCATAAATTCGCAATATTTTAGAGAATTGTGGAATGTATCTGCCCAAGGCTGCGGATAGGCTGCAGCAAAGTGCTTTTAGAAATTCTTGCTAATAGTGTACAACTAAACGTTATCGAATAGAGCTAGATTCCTGAAATGTGTTTTAAAGGTGATTTTATTGTGTCAGTGAAAAATCGTTTTATAATTGTTAGAAAAGTACTTATATGTACTAAATTATGTACAATATGTAGCAAATAAAAGTATAGAGCTAAAATCTTAACAAGTATGTAATTAGGATAAAAATTATAATTTTTTTTTCGAAATAATAAGTGGTAGTGATATTAGCAAGAATCTGAAAATTGGGTATGGAGATTGGTGAAATGGATGTAGCTTTGGGGTAAGTAGGTGATTTAAAAAATCGTACGTTACGAACATTTTTATACAGTACTAGAATATGACCGCAACTTCGTTAGCGAATGTAGGGAATATTTAAGCATGTATTGACATATTATTTTATTTTCAAAGCAAACTGCATATGTCAGAAAAAACAATCCACACATTAATATCGACCATAAATTACATTTGAGTACCATTTAGTACCAAATTTCATGATTCGAGCTCTAAAGGTTCACCCAAATCCAATTTTTCCATTTAGCATACATTATTTCCATAAGAGGGTACAACCATCCAACAAAACATCATGCATACCCCGATCCTACACCCCCACAATGATTCCAAATTCACATTTCAGGATTCCAACTCTACTGGTTCACCCACAATTTAAATTGTACCAAATTTAGTACACAGTATTACGAATTTTCAAATCTTCCTACATACCCCAATCCTACACCCCCACAGTGATCCTAAGTCCAAGTTTCAGGATTCTAACTCTATCGGTTCACCCACAATTCAAATTGTACCAAATTTAGTACACAGTAGTACTTATTTCCAAAACTTCCTACATACCCCAATCCTACACCCCCACAGTGATCCTTAATCAAAATTTCATGATTTCAACTCTATCGCTTCACCCACAATTTAAATTGTACCAAATTTAGTACACATTAGTACGAATTTCTTAAATTTCCTACATATTTCAATCGTACACCTCCACAGTGATCCTGACTCCAATTTTCATGATTCTAGCTCTATTGGTTCACCTAAAATTCAAGTTGTACCAAATTTAGTACCCATAAGTATTAATTTGTTAAACTGAATCCTGACCCTAATCCTACATCGATTTAGTACTTTTCGTACACATAATTATCCAAAAAAAAAAAAAAAAATGCTCCAAAACTACGTACATATCCGAATCCTACACTCCGACGGTAATGTTACTTTCAATTTTCAGGATTCCAGCTCGATTTGTACATTCAAATAAAATTTTGTACCAAATATAGTTCCATATAGTATTTTTCGTACACATGAGTACACGCTTTCCAAACTCTCCTGATCTTAATCTTAATTTGCATTCCAATTTTCAAGTTTTTATCTCAATCCATTCACATACTACGAAATTGTACCAAATTTAGTACTTTTCGGATTCTCATAGTTCGAATTTCCAAAAAGCCCTTTGCTACATCTATTCTACGCTCCACCAGTGACCCTCAATCCAAATTTCAGAGTTCTAGCTCTACTGTTGATGAATCGTTAAATCAGTCAGTCAGTCAGTCAATCACTTTACTCTTTTATTAGTATAGATTGAATGTAGTACAATTGGCACTGTGCGAACGGAAAGATCTAGAATATTGAAATTTTGCGTGAGGATAACTGGTAGTGCATAGGTGGAGTTTGTAACACAGTTCGTGGTCGAATGGGGGTAGAATGTACTAATTTGTACCAACATTCATGCAAGTGGTGTTTTGTAAATCACTATTGGAATATAGGGTTAGGGGGAACCCCATTTTCGGTTATTTGACTTAATTCGAACCTAATTCAAAAATGCCTCTAAAAAATTTGAAGTGAAATGGTCAACATCTCAAGTGACGGCAAGAAACAGTTTTTACAATTGGCGAGCACTATTACTCAAAAACTAATAGTCCAATCGCTTCCAAATCTTGACACGTTTCTCTGTGAGTATATAACTATCCTATGAACTAGGATAAATTCAACTAAACTAAATTTTTTTAATAGTGAACTGAGAGGGCTTGAAAAAATTAATCTGCACAGGTCACATAAAATGTATAATAAAATCTAGGATTGCCCATTTTTCGCTCTTTTTTCGAAATGACCATTCCATGCCATTTCTGATGTAATGATTCTTAAGGCTTATAATGTTTAATCCATACAAGACGTGATTATAAACAGTGACTTATCTTTACTGTATGGGTCCATGAATTGCATGAAAATAATGCGGAAATGGTGGACATTTCAAAAGGCAAAATGGATGCGCCTGGGGCTCGGAAAACCCATCCTCTTCCATCCAAGGTATGCATGTTTCCATCCTAAAGGTATGCATGTTTGGTGCGTTCTATAATTCGACGGGGTCATTGTACCTTACTTTTTCGAAAGCTGTACTACAGTATCTTTGCTTGGAAAAATGAAGTATCATTATCCTTAGCTCCAGTAGTTGAAAAAATCTTAAATTTAAGTGTCAAAGGGCTTTGTATAGGCCTTTTTAATATATTTATAATATCTTTCCTGAATAATAAATGTTTGCCCCGTTATGCATTGTACAATATAGACCTAGACATAGATTTTTATACATAATTTTTGGTGTGTCCGATGAATATTTCGATAACGACAACTTACCTGAAATTGGTAAATTGAATGCAACGAATTAATGCTGGGCACTCCGCCGTATTTCAAGCCCAAAATTGTTGAACGATAATCATTAGCACCGTCACGTGGTGGCTGGCGAATGAGAACAAAATCTGGTCGGAACATGCGAGGGATCTGTTAACAAAAAGGCAAATATTTTAACATTTTATATCAATTCATACACCCATCAAACAAATTTTGAAAAACTTACCCTGGAATCACCACGATGTACTTCCATAGTTACTACCGGACCAGATTCTGCACTGGCGTGAAGGGTTATGTCCTATAAATACCCACACACATTTATATAAAATTAATGTTACATATTATCAAAAAAATTGTTCAGCTTACCCTAAACTCTGCCTGTTCCACGCGTATATCATAGTCGCCATGCAAACGTTTGCCACGGAAATATTTCGACCAATCTGTATTGTGGTCATCGAGCACCAATAGCGTAAAATATTTATCCTTGTTAAAGGCCGGAGCACGTGTTGCGCTTTGCACCGCAGCACCTTTAGTTGTGTTGCGAGAGTGTGTGGGTAGGTCGTGTGTGAAATTTATGAAAAAATATGATTAGTGAACATTTTGTAAAATATATAATTGAAATTGCACACCAAGGTTATGGGCTTGGGCTCACAACATGCATTTTGTAGTATTGTTAATGTTATTTAGAGAAAAATAGGCATTCGAATAAAGAGACTTTCGGGATATTTTATGTTGAGAGAAAACGCATTTTTCTCAACACCGGCTATAAATATTAATATATTGAATAATATATAAGGTAATAAAAACATATTAAAAAAATATATATTTAAATTAATCTTAAATATTTGATATATATAAAGCTACTAGAATTAAATCAATGCGATTATTTCAACATCTCTCGGATCATTACTGTATAACTTTTTTGTGTGCAGCAAATGTTCCAAAAATTAAAAAGTGTATAAAATGTTTTTGACACAATGTTGATTTTTGCAGGGTAACAATTATAATTGGAGCTTAAACATAAATTGGCGACAAATTTCCGGACATTGTCACATAAAAGCTTTTAAGGATTTGTATGGTAGGTTTAAACGAGTGAAATAAGAAGTGAGCGATATCAATTCACCCGAAGTGGCGAAAAGCGTAGAAACATAACATTCGACTGACAAGGTTTTGGTGTCTTGACTAGCGTATTGGCTAGTTTTCATTAACTTCTTGAAATCGTTTATAACGATCCCGTTTGAGCCATATATTGGTTACAAGGACGGTATCCAACAGCCCAGAAAAAATTCTAGTTATTATTTGATAGCAACTAATGTCATCGGTCTCACGGTCGTCTGTATTAGACCGTTTAAAAATCCCTAATTTTAAAAAAAAATATTCTTAGTCGCGTAGAGAACCTATCGCCTTGCGAGTAAATAAAAATCCAAGAATTGGTTTCGTCATCTACCCTAATAATCAGATCTGGTTCTCAGCAACTATTTCGACCAATATGTTCTTAAATTGTTGAGGAGATAACAATCAAAGAATGTTATTCTTCGCATTATAAAATGTTTGGACCAAGTCAAACAGACTTTGGAATCATATAAAATTAGTTGATTGTCGTAACAGTTCGACTGTAATCGAAAATGTTTTCCTGATCATATTAATACAAACTGGAAGAAAGGAAGAATAAATCTATCAATTTATGTATGAGCAGAATTAGGAAATAAGTCTGGTTGGCTCAGAAGATGAATTAAATAAATAACGTGTGTCGTGAGGGCCTTGCTGGCGGGATGGACACTTGTTTAGGCTACCTGGAACAATGTGTTCTCTATACAAATTGAGAACATTGTAATATCCTGAACTTAAACAAGGAAGAAGCATCTCAATGTCTAAAATTCAAAATTGGAGGAGGGTGTGGGTTTAGGATTTAATTGCACCTGTAATCATATATGACATCGGAGACCTTAAGTTAATGCACAGATTTCGTGAAGTTTGATATCGAAAATCTGTTGTTTCGATTGAATGACGTCTAAGATGTGCATTTACGATAGTGTCTTAAGCCTTGATTAGCCGCGGAGGGAGATAAGCCATCACAGTGTGATTTTTGGGAATTGTCTAACCGTTTGTATAAATCATCTAAAGATCAGGGTCATATACAATTTGTTCTTTATCAAATCAAATCCGAATATGGGACTATTTGGTCTATTCCTTCTTGTCGCTCCCCCACAAAGGGTCAAATTCAACGTATATTAATTCAATATTAGGCGAAAGGAATATTAGATTTGAACCAAACTTTGTCTAACCTATTATCTTTACCAAGCCTAGAACAAGTCCGAAGTTGGGACCAATTTCCTTTTCTTTCTTGTACCTCCCCCACAAAGGTTTAATATTTTATAAACTTGTAATTTTAATTTGAAACGAATGGAATATCCGATATGATCATTCATACTTGCACATTTAAGATAACAGCTCAGAATATTTGAACTTTCCTCATTACATAAATTTTTTTCATTTAGCTGCACTGGGAATATCAAATTAAAAACAGTCGTAATTTCGAAAACCAGACACAAAACCATTTTTTCTGTTTCATTATGAGATACTTAGCGTTGACCGTATATTCCAGAAAATTTGACATACTCTCATTTTATACAGTGATCTCTTACGTGCACGTTGAGGCAGGTAAGTGATGTAGGATACCTACACTTTTAACTTTCCTGCACAGAAATAATTGCAAGTGTTGTATTCCAGTTAAGTAAATGATTGGCCTGTTGTAACCTGTCAACGCCACTTTGTATTGTGTGTAGTGGTTGGGGTCCTTACTTATTTAGGATGTAATCTTATCTCTGGTTGACGTTATCTCCTTTCATTCCTGTTTTGATTTATACTCATATGCTGATGTTAAATCCGAGGTGGGTTATTAGAATGTCCTTCGATGCATTTTATTTCAGATACATATGTATGCCTCTGTTTACAAAAATTTGAAACCCCGTTAGACAGAATTTTTTTCTTTAATCTTTGCGTTTTTGTTCTAGCTATGTAAATCATCGGTCTGCTGTAGCCTATCCTAGTTGATTGGGGAGCTGACATCTATCGTTTCCTAGAAGCAACATCTAAGAATTAGATTAGATCCTAGAAACAACATCTAATCTTATTAAGTGTTGCCATTTTTCTCTGAGTGGCATTATCTCCTTCTATAATGGACAGACGCATAGACGGACACACATATCTCAGCTAGTCGAGATATGAACATCGGTGAAGTAAATGGGGTCTAGGAGCAAGGAATTGTCCATTTCAGCTGGTTAATTGTTTCGTTTATCTTTGTTTTTTATTCTAGATAAGTTAATGTTTGGTCTGCTGTAGCCTGTAGTCTAAGTTTTCGGGCTGACATCTATAGATCCCTAGAACCAACACCTAATTGAACTTTATGTAGTGGTAGTGTTGCTATTTTTCTCTGTGTAGCGCTATCTCCATCTATTTTTTTCTTCTATAATGGGTAGGCGATCGGAATATTAAATTGGTTCTAGGACCAAGGAATTGTCCAGGCCGGCTGGTTAATGGTTTCGTTAATCTTTGTTTTTTTATTATAACTAGGTAGATTATTGCTAAGTATCTATCCTTGCCTAGAAACAACACCGAATTTAACTTTGTGTGGTGGTTGGGGTCTTTGCTTATTTAGTTTTGCAATTTTCCTCTGGGTGGTGTTATCTTCTTCTATTGCTCATTTGTGTTAAGGCGGGAATTTGTTCTTAGAATGCAAGGGAATTGTCCAATGCATTATATTCCCTCTATGACTCTTTAATTGTTTAATTAATCGATGTTTTTTATTCTAGCTAAATATATTATTGGTCTGCTGCAGCCTTTTCTAGGTGATGGGGGTGACATCTATTATTGTCTAGAAACAATGCTTCTGTAAATTGTGTGCAGTTATTGGAGTCGTTGCTTATTTAGTATAGTCATTGCCATATTTTGGTTATTTGAATGTCGGGGGATTCGGATGCATCTCATTTGGAGGGATGCGAAAGCCTCTTTAAAAAAACATTCGAAAACCACTTTGAAATAATTTTTCCATCTAAGCTGGGATTAGAACCCACCCTATTTCCGTAACTTCGTCGTTTTACCAGGAAAAGAGTATTTATAGAGGGTGAAAGCCTCTTATCAAAAATATTCGAAAACTTTGAAAATAATTTTCTATCTATGCTGGTATTCAAATCTATCCTATTTTCTGCAATATATAACTCTAGTTCTGAATCTTCGTAATTGTACAAGGTCAAGGTATATCTACGGATATTACAATTATCGAAACACAGGTCTCAATTTATTTGGATGCCATATATTCTCGTAAAACTTAAATACTCAGTTAAGGCTTATAATACAGTGCATTATAAAAGTATACGGCAATAGGTGTTAGTAAGTATTTTTTTTATTTTTTTTTTTTGTGACATTCGTGCATTAGTATATTAGTAGTTGTTGTTGTGACATTGGTGTTAGAGCATTCAAAATCATAAGCGATTCATTAATTTAAAACATTTTAAAAATTGGTTATTTTTGTATATACCCAAAATTGAAGCGCCTTGATCTCGTGCGGCTCCCGTTAAGCTTTGAACACGTTGCAACAGACTTTCACGCGATTTAGCCGGACTCGTGGGGGCGCTGACTCCACGCGGTGGAGCAGCACTGGCCGTTGGATTATTCGTAGCTGTTGTTGTCTTGCCAAAACTTAACGAGAAGTCTGGTGCATTGCCCGTTGGTTGTGGCGGTATGTTGGCGGTGCCCGGTGCCGGTGGTGGTGGCATATTTGGGGGGCCACCCGACGAAACCGCCGTTGGTGGTTTCGTTGGTTGTTCCTGGATGGGGCGAGCTGCCGGTGGCAAATCATTTGGATCGATGTCATCAGCCTCGGAAGATAAATCTCCCGAGCTGAATCTGTGGTTGTGGTGGTGTGTTTGTGTAGTGTTTTTATTTGTTGGTTTTAGATGAGGGAGGTTTCAAAATGTGTTTTTGTTGTATTATGTAGGAGAAAAAATAGTGTAGAACAATAGAAAAAAAATGGAAGAAGAACAAGAAGAGAGAACAAAGAGAGCCAAACCATATGAAATTTTAAATTAGTACGACTTAGTTGTTCTTTGGGGGTACGTAGCGAGATTTTTTTTAAACGTTTTTACCTTCTCTTCAGGAAATTAACATTGGAAGTAAAACTGCTCTTGAACGATGAGAAATTCAGGGTGCCGGTTTTAGTTTCCTTCTGCAGGATTGTAGATTTTTTTCATTTCGTTGATTTAACAAACGATTTGTTAAAAATGCGAAATTTTAACGAACATCGTTTGTTGGTTAGGAATTTCAAAAAAAAAAAAAAGAAAAACAAATTCGAATGGAATAAAATCGTAGAAAGAGAGACACGGGGGAGAGATAGAAGTTTGTTGAGAAAAAAAATATTTTTTTGGTTAGAATTTTGATTTTTTTTTTTATTTTTCAATTTTGTTATTGTTGTTATAAACATTTAAAGCGTTTTTGTTGTTGTTAAAAAACGAAAAATTAAATTGAAGACAATAACACAAGACAAAAGCCAAAATTAAAAATAAAGAAGAACTTAAGAAAATATTTTTTAAGAAAGGTGCAGTTGTTGTAATTTTAGTAATAGATAGTTGTTGTTGTAGTTAGATTTTCTTCTTCATTTCCTTTTTTCTTGCTTTGGTATACTTCAAATGAAAATTCACACCAGCAAAGATGGTAAAAAACATTAAAACGAGATTCCGGTATTTATTGGTGTGCGGGACCTCTCGAAATTTCTGTTACCGAAATTTGAAAGGTACCACCGGATCTTTTTTCTTTAAAATTTCATATGCTTAGGATTCCCACTCAATTCGATTAGTAGATGATTTTTTTATTTTTTGGGTTATAATATTGAGAGGAATATGGTTCAAAAAACACAGAGATAGAGAGAGAGAGAGGAGAGTGGAAGGAAAATATATCCTGGCGAGTGTGTGTAAATATTTTTTCTTTCTTATATAAAAAAAAAACACACACACAATAATATACACACTTATACATAATAAAAATAACACACACACACTTACATAAATATACAAATGTATTTATGATGATAAAGGATGGAGAATGAAAACAACAAAGAAATAAAATATATGTAACACAAATACTTAACCTCATTGTTTTGCCATTTATACAGCCGCCAAAAACATAACAACAACAATTGTTCACAGGGTGTGTGTGTGACAAAAGAGTGAAATGAATTCTATAAGGATAATGAGAATTGTAATGATGGTGGTGTGGTGATGATGATAAATGAATGACTGAATAAATGAACTCTTTCGCATTCGCAAGAAAGCGTAATATAATCCTGTTGTCTCTCACATTGTGAAATGTCACTGAGCTTAAATACTGCTTCCCACCCCAGCTGCTTCATAATGTGGACAATAAAATCAGGGTTTTTGATGGTTTGCCAGACCAATAATTTGTTTTTCTATTGCAATTTGGTGTTATGCCAAAATGAAATTATGGCTTCATTAGGGGTAAGGCGAAGTTAGACAATAACAGTGGAAATAGAATGTAATAAAATTGTCATGATACAGATAATTTAAAAAACAGTGTGTAAAAGGGTTATGGTAGCCTATGTTACACGGCGGTGGTATGAGGAAGTTTTTTTATTGGTTGGCCTTTATAGACCAGCTGTGGGGAGTTGTTAGAGAAGAGCTAAAGGTAGTCTCTTCAGAAATGGCTGAAGGAAGTCTTAATAGAAATGTGTATTTATAGACGCGCCGAAAGAAGTCTTTATATACGAGCTGAAGGGAGTCTTCATGGAAGAGCTAATGGTAGTCTATAGAAGAGCCGAAGGGATTCTTTATGGACGAGGTGAAGGGAGTCTTAATGGATAAGTTGAAGGAAGTGTTTACGGACGAACTGAAGGCCTATGATGATATGAGTTTGAAACACCGCCCTCATATTTTTTCAAAATATCTTTGCACTAAATGACACGAATTTTTTTTTTCAATTGTGCGGAATACAACGAGAAATAACCTTTTTCACGGCCAGATTTCCACGCTATATAGCATGGGTGCTAATTGAGGAAATGCCAAAGGATGCCTTTATTTCATATTTTAAAACCAGTAAGGAAAGTAGTAAAGTCGGACGGAGCCGACTATATGATACCCTTTACAACTTTGGGTATATTCAACAGTTGAATCCTAACAGACGTCACATTTTAAAGGACCAGTAAAATGAATTTGGACCCATAAACATGTCATTCGGCAACCGATATTAAATTTTTTCATTTGGTCAGATATAGAAGTTATATCTAAATCTGAACCGATTTTTACGAAACTTAGCACACATCATTCTGGACCTAATTCAGTACCCTATGCCAAATTTCTGGCAAATCGAAAGATATAAAGGGACTTTAGTGCACCATTTAAATAAAATCGGACGAAAATATATATGGGAGCTATATCTATATCTGAACCGATTTTCACGAAACTTAACATACATCATTCTAGACTTAATTCAGCACGCTGTGCCAAATTTTGTGCAAATCGACAGATATATAGGGACTTTGGTGTACCATTTACATAAAATCGGACGAAACTATATATGGGAGTTATATCTAAATCTGACCCATTTTTTCGAAACTTGGCACACACCAATCAAGACTCAATTCAGTACCCTATGAAAAATTTCGTTCAAATCGAAAGATATATAGGGACTTTGGTGCACCATTTACATAAAATCGGAAGAACCGATTTTTTTCAATTTCATTAGGGTTCGTCCTTGGGTCAAATAAGTGAAAATTTTGATGGTATTAATAAGGGTAACATTTACATTCAACAAGACGGCGCTACGTGCCTCATAAGCAACAAAACCATTGACCTTTTTGGGGAAAGGTTTCCGGACCGTGTTATTTGTCGAAGAGGTGATCATAATTGACTGCTGAAATCTTGTGATTTAACATCTTGGAACTTCTTCCATTGGGGCCATAGAAGGCCTAGAACCAATGCTGGAATACATGAGGCTATCGAGTACATAGGACAGTTACTATGAAAAATTGCATGTAAAGTCCTGTAAACTAGCTCGCATAAGCCATTTGAGTATTTCTCATTGTTAACGCCACGAATATTTTAACTTGCAAATTTAAGCGATGGGGCAGGTGATGTTTCGGGCAATGTCTATATATAATTAAGCAGTTTTTGGGTCGATATGTGACCATGGTGCCTTCAATCAATTGAAGATGTTCAAAATGTTAAATCCGTCGAAAAAAATCTTTCGGAGAATTTGGGAAAAATTACGTAAAGATCCGAATATTCTTTCTTAAAAGATCTCTGAAAGATAGAAAAGACCATTTGGAGATCAAATATATTTCGATGATTTCCCAAAGAAATAAAAATTAATTTAAAGGTTTTGACCTACAGAAGCTTCTGCTATTCCATTGCATTACCAATTCCTTCGTACATATAAAACGTAATCTGGAAGAGGGCCTCTAGCCATGAAGGAAAGCCTTTCAACTATAGATTATATACGGTATTCAAATGTCGATAAAAAACGTATTCTGGATAGGATATCCACCATGTAAATGTTTTAAATGTCAAAATTTTAAAATACTATGACAATTTTGCCGACACCTTTGGAGTACTGTATCAGATATGTATTTTATTAAAGATATGGTAAAACGAGATCTTTTTCATATATTATATATTTTTCAAATACATTTGTAAACCGAAAAGTTCGGTTATAAAAAAAAATCTATTGAAAACTATTATGATGACCTTATAAATAACTAATTAATGACCCTATTAATAATAGATAAGGGTTCCGTTTTAAGCAACCTTCAATAAAAATAAGCTCGGGCGCCGGAAAATAGAGATCCTCTTCTTCCAATTTTAAAATACATTCCAGTATATTCGATTAGATCTTTACGACCTTTAAAATATGACAAACCAATGACAACGAGCTATGTATTTTTTCTTGGAAAATATTCTCTGTAGAATAGTGCTTGATGATTTCTCAGAATATATTATTTCTATTTTTTCTTTAATCTAACTTAACCCACAACATTCTACATGCTACCCTATATTTACAACGTTACCTTGGTTACATAGATCTAAATAAATTTTTTTGTTTTTATCTAGGTGTTCTTTTGTTCATTTATTTCATTTCATTATATTAAAATAAAAAAAAACACAAATGAAATAGAATATAATAAAACTGCTGTGGGTTGCAGGAAATCTAACCTACATACTTTCAACGCACACCTTAGCCGCCCACATTTCTGTGGTTGTTAGCTGTTAAGCGTTAACTTAAAGACTGGCTGACAGACAAGCAGAAGAAGAAGAAATAAAAAAAACCCAAATTCACCCTCAATTAAGTATTTACTGAAATCTTATAAATATTGTAAACAACAAAACATCCAGCCAGTCAGCCATCCATCTATTCATTCATTTATTTAGACAGGCTGCCTGTCAGCCATTCAAACAAGGACTGTGGGTGATGGGTGACGATTGTGATGCCGTATTTCACTAATAACAGAGTTTGGGGGGAAATCATCAAGGACATGATTGTAGAAAAAACAACTGTTATTACTACCATGGTTATTTGTTGGTCACGCATACAAACAAACAAAACACCGATTTACATTAGGGTGTGATAATTTACTTTGTTTAAAACTTTGGAAGATAGAAAGAAGAATACAATAGGAAATCATTTTTGAGACATTTTACGAGGTCTACACTTCAAGCCATTTAAATTGTCAAGTTTAGAATTTGTTTGCATAAACATACTCAGTACGGTTTGGTGTACCACCATGTGTTGTGTTGCTTACTGTGTATAAAATTTTTTGTTTTTTTTAAATGTTCAAGAAAATTTTCCAAACTTTGAGGCCATTATTGACATCATTCGACGTGGATTATAAGGCAATAGTGAATCGATGAAATAAAATGTTTACCATTCCATAGCACCGTGAGAAACTGGTTTAATGATTACAATCGTGGCCGACAGGTGATGAATCACAGAACTAAGCTTATGAGTCCGAAACATCGATCGTGAGGGTCTTCGAAGAAATCTAATCTAACGAATGTTGTTCCTAGAAGAATCACTTCAAAACAAATGGTCATCTGTTTCTTCGACAAAAGTGGACATTTAACGACGGTTCCGATTGGGCAAAATGCCAGTCGAATGTTGGTTTTCGAAGAGATGTCAAATTCAAGGAAAGTAGTTTGCAGAAGAAATACTTCCAAGCAACTGGTCGCTTGTTTCTTCCACTATTTGTTTGCCTAAAGGCTTCGGAAAAATCCGAAGAAAGGTCTGAACAAGACGAACTATTTTGAACCACAGCTATGCTGGCTCTAACATCGGTTCAAAGCAGCACTTTCTAACCTACCAAAATCATCTACCATACAGCTGTCTCAATGGGAGTGGAAAAGTGAATGGGTGAAGACTTCGGACCAAGTTGGAATACGAGCAAGGGAAAGTGAATCATTGTACACCATGATCATGCGAGCTCTCTCTCACATCCACTCAAACCAGTGACGTTTTGAGCGTAAAAGTCCGCTTGGCATACAATGAATTATTTTTGTCCGCAAATCAGGGAAAAAATTCGTGGTCAACCAAGATGTTGATAGCCGCCAGAAGGAGTTTTTGATGCTTTCAAACCCCATATTTCGGGTCACAGTCGCAGTGAAAATATATATGATTGAAATCATCGGAACAAATCGAAAAATGAACCAGAGAGGTCTCATTGTACGAGCTCTTACTCATCTAACAAAGCAGTTCCTATTTGACCCGCCAAAATGTGGATGGATCATTCACCATGCAATTCCAACTTGACACCCAATCTTTTTTCTAATTCCACATGCCATCTTCTGCCTCAATCAGATTGGAAAAATGAAATGCCTGGAGTCTTTAGAGCAAACTGAAAAGCGACGGTGAGAATACTAATCACCATTACAAACTCCCATATATCGGTTCGAAGCAACGATTTTTGGATGGATAAATCAAATCTAAGGTTTGCCACACAATTGACATCTTCTGATTCCTGCACATAAAATGAGTGTTCAACGATTTTCCTCACCAGAAGATGATAATGAAGCGATCGAAAAACCAAATTTGGATGTTGTCTCAATCGGAGTGGAAAAGGTGATTCTGATTTTTCAGGTCAGAAATATATGTCCCATGTATGATCTTCTGTAGGTCCTACTGAAGGTTTTCTATACATTGAGAACTTCCTATGGGTCTTCTAGTACAAAATATCTCGAATAGGTCTTCTAAAAATAGAATACCTCCTTCTATCCATCGAACATATATACGTGAAAAGATTTCTGCACAGAAATATACGAAGGTACCCTTGTACGAACTCATATAGGTCCTACAGAAGGACCTCCTATCGGTCGTTTAGTACAGAATACTTCGTATATGTCTTCTAGAAATAGAATACCTACTTCTAACCATCGAAGATCTATACATAGCAGATTTCATGCTGGTTTTACAGACAAACTATAGACCTTCCGCACAGAATAGAAGTGCTTTAGCTCTTCTATGGAAATAAACTCTTCTATTAGTATTCTAGACGTAAAAGTTCTCCTATAGATTTTCTAGACATTGAACACTTGCTATAGACCTTCTAGATGTGGAGGACCTTTTCTATACATTAACGACTTCCTTTTAAGTCTTCTAGATATATTATATGTCCAGGTATTATATGTCTAGAAGACTTAAAAGGAAGTCGTCCGTGTATAGAAGAGGTCCATCTCTAGACGTAAACTTCATCCTACAGATTTTCTAGAAGATCTCTTCAACACATACAAGTCTTCTACGCATTTGATACTTTTTCCATAGATATTTTAGACCTAGAAAACTTTCTACAGTACGAAATTCTCTTCCAGATATTGACGACTTTGAAGTAGTCTAGACATAGACTTGAGATCCTCTCTATATACCTAGAATACCTTTTATAGATATTTTAAACGTAGAAAAACTCCTATAGATCTTCTAGACGTCGATAACCTCATAGACGTATTTTTGTCATGGAAAACCTGTTCTAGACATGTCATACTTTTAAGTCTTTTAAATATAGACTTGGAAAACCATTTATAGACCTAGAAGACCTCCAGCAGGTCTTCTCCAATTTATATATTTTCGTTTAGAAATAGGAGACCTCTAAAGGTTTTTATACATATGAGACATTCGAATGTTTAGAAAACCGCCTGTGCGTCTTCTAGATATAGGAAACCACCTAAAATGCTTTCACCTAGAATGCTTTCAGTCAAAGTAAAGAACCTATAGGTCTTCTACCCATAAAAACTTTTTACGGGACTTTTTTCACCAAATGTAAGATCTGTTTCAGTCATAAAAACCCTGTTAAAGGTCTTCTAGACAATGAAGACCAGTTATATGCCTTCCATATATAAGAGAATACCTGTTCTAGGTCTGCTATGCTTAGGTCACCTGTTAGAAGTCTATGGACATAAAACACTTGCTGAACATATTCAAAAATACCTGCTATGGGCCTTCTAGACATTGAAGACCTGATATAGATGATCTAGAAATAAAAGACCTGCTATGGGCATTTTATACTTATAAGACCGCCTGTAGGTAGTCTAAACACAAAAGAGCTGATTTAGGCTTTATAGATACAAAATACGTGTTATAGGATGTTTTAGAAATAGAAGACCTAGTATATGTGTTGGGAACACAAAAGTCCTTTTAAAGTTATTCTAGACACATAAGACTTATTACGCTCTGCGGTGTGGAAAAAAATCCATATATAGGTTGTCTATTCTCAATTTTACCCGTTCCTGGCCACTAAACTCACTTTATTTATTTATTTATTTTTTTTTGTTATGATTAACTGGAAAAAAGGAACCGGTACACAAATTCTGTGTTTAAGATCTTCTAGACACAAAATGGCAGTGATGGGCTTCTGGACATAGAAGACCGCCTGCAGGCCTTCCAGTCATAGAATATCTTTGTAGGGAAAAGTAAGCATTTATACAGGTTATTTAAAAGCTTTTTATTCTGAAGTCCTTAACGCATTTTTTCTAAATTATCCTTTTATAAAATTATAAATGTGATCCACCCTAATACACACCAAAAACAGTTCGCTCCTGAAAAACAAATTGGCAAAGAACTCGAACAAGCGTAGGTTGGCATTACATCACATATTTTTCATCTCCAATTTCTCTCTCAAATGTCAAAGGTAGCAAAACAGTAGTGGCGGTAGGTGGCGACGACGTCGGAGGAGGGAGATGATGGCGAGGATGGTAATGATGATGATGGCCAACAATTCGAAATGGTTATTGTGGTAGTGGTGGTGATGGTAATGGTAGTGGTAGTGGTCACATGTGTTACACAGATTTCATTTTTGATTTTGTGGGATAGAGGGTGGCCAACGTGCAGACATAAATGTCAAAGTTAGCCAAACAATTTTCGGATTTTTTTTTTTAATTTTCATAATTTATTTGATTCTGTAATGGATTTCAATTTTCGTTGCGTTTTTTTTTTCTTTTTTTTGTTTGGTGCAGATAAACAAAAAACTGAATAATTCAAATGAAAAATAAAAATAAAATCAAATATAATATATTAAGTAAATATACAAATTACACACATTAGACGAATTACATATGTACATTACATATGTATTAAGTATGTAAATAAATAATGGAAATTATTTTCGCACACATACACACACTCTCACACAAGTGTATGCAGCACATACATATGTACATATAAATTCGAAATAAAAAAATACACATTATATAGACATATGTGTGTGTGTGTAAATAAAAAAAATTGTATGCAAATTATTTACTCGCGTTTCTTTCATTATTTTTTTGATTGAATTTAGTAAACAAATGACAAAAAGAAAAACAACAAATGAGTGTGTAAAAAATTGTAAAGCAAAAAAATGAAAACGAAAAACAAGAACAAGAACAACACAAAAATGACATTGACATGAACATGGATAACATGGCTGGCTATGTGATGACTTACCGGAGGTGGGGCACAAATTCGCCCGCACCCAGCAGTAGCTATTGCACTTATATTGACCGACTACGAAAGAGGGCTGACACAGCTCTTGGCGCGCTTTGCTGCTGCTGTCGTTCACTTGTCTCGCCTTTAGCAGGAATTCAAAACAATCGGTCGGTTGGTTGTTTGATTTAATTTAACTGCTGGTGCTGCTGCTGCTGTTGCTTTTGTGGACACTGCAAAAATAAGGATATTGATTAGATATTGTAAAAATAAATACAGTGAGTGTAAAAAGTATTTTGCCTCAATAAAAATTTGAAAAAATTCCAATATATACGCCTGAAGCCAGCAAACTAAAGATGTAAAATGACTTATGTATGATGAAGTACATTTGTGGACATATTTAGATCGCATTTCTGCAAGAACCACAGCGAAAGGCCTATTGGTCTCGAAGATATCGGCCGAAATATATAATAACCCAAAAATGTTTATCACAAAAAAGTATTTTGCTTTTTATTATTATTTTAGAAAAAATTGTTACATTGAACACGTTTGGTCTTTTTATTGTTACAATTGCGCTTAACCACATACTATAAGCGATTTGACCACTATTCCATTACATCACGGCATTTTTTGGTGGGTATTTTCTCACATTTACATTCAATACATTCTCCATCAGTATTTCATTTAATATTTGGTATTTTCTCGTCCTAATCTTAAGATGAGAGTATTAAACATAGTCCTTGCGGCTTCAAAACATCCTAAATATGTTTAGAATAATAAAGAAGAGGTTTTGCCAAATATAACGCGAGGACAGAACCTTAAAAACTATAAAAACCAAAATCCGATAAACAAATTATTTAAAAAAATTCGCGAAACCCAATTTTTCTGACTTCGAAATTTGTATGGTCCAGTAATATTGATCTAGGAACCAATATATGCAATGGAAATACCAATAAGGGGGTCAGATTCAAAGATATGGACAGTTCTAAAACAATAGTAATAAACAACAATACATGAAGTTAGGAGAAAACATCATTATTCGTCAAATCCTATTGTCTTTTGAAAAACTGTGGTTGCTGGTGGCGAATACGCATTCTATATTTTATCTCCGATTAACACCATCAGTTGCGAATAAAATGCAGTAGGGAATAAACGGGTCGATCTAGTTATTTTCGAAATAAGATGTATTTCTATTGCCAGAAAACCGTCGATATCTTTGAATCTGACCTCCTTATTGCTATTTGCATAGTATATTTTGGTTCCTAGATCAGTAATAATGAACCATAAAGTTTTCGAAGATAGAAAAATGGGGTTTCGCGATATTTTTTTAAATAATTTATTTGTCGGATTTTGGTTTCAATAGTTTTAAGGGTCCTGTCCTCGCGATATGTTTTGTAAAACCTCATTTTTATTATTCTTAACATATTTGGGATGTTTTGAATCCGCGACGACTATATTTAATACTCTGCTTTTGAGATTAGGACGAGAAATTACCAAATATTAAATGAAATATTGCTGGAGAATGTAATGAACGTAAATGTGAGAAAATACTCGCGAACAAATGCCGTGGTTTATTGGAATCGTTGCCAAATCACTTATAGTATGTCGTTACCCGCAATGGTAACTATAAAAAGACCAAACGTGTTCTATATAACAATTTTTTCTAAAATAATAATAAAAAGCAAAATACTTTTTGGTGATAAACGTTTTTGGATTGTTATATATTTCGGCCGATATCTTCGAGACCAATAGGTCTTACGCTGTGATTCTTGCAGAAATATGATCTAAATATGTCCACAAACATACTCCATCATCCATAATTCTTTTTATATCTTTAGTTTTCTGGCTTTAGGCGTATATATTGGAATTTTTTCAAATTTTTGTTGAGGCAAAATACTTATTACACTCACTGTATGTCTGTATGTAAACAATAAATATTTATTCTAATTTTATAGAGTAGTGGAAATTGTAATACATAGACGTCAGCGGATTTGTTGTAATTGTAATAGAAGTGGAATTCTATTGGAAATTTATTTAAACTGGCAGAATGGCCCCTAAGGACTAGAATAAATCATTTGTTGCCGCAGGATACTTTGATGAGTTCTTAATAGTTATAGACTATGATGTGGACATATGATTGGCAGCTTCATTACTTATACAATTAAGTTATACAAAAAAAAAAAAAAAAAAAAATCATGCGATTCCAGCAAAATATTCGATATCAAGGAATGAATTATTTGGCATGCAATTTTTTAAGTGGATTATCCTTTATGCTAATGCGATACAGAAACATATTATACAGTTTATGGAATTATGTGAAGTTCAAAAAAATGTTAAGAATTGTTTCTTATTCAATTATATTTTGTACGATGTAGCTGAATTCTAAGCTATATTTATTATACGAAGTGAAAAGATGATGTTCAAAATAGGATTCGTAAAGGTCAATACTTGGAAAATCAATATCAACATTTGAAATAGTTGATTATTATTCAACATGAATTAGAATGTCCCACAAAATGTCATGGAATGGAAAAATCCTTATGGGGATGAAAGCGCTTGACGAGTATATTAAGAACCCAGGAGGACGTGATGCATTTTTTCTGGTGACCCTAAAAGCTTAATAATATTGATGGTTGTTTTGAGACCTCATTTTTGCAGTCAAATCGAATGAAGATTAAGTGTATAAAAAACTCAGCCTTATGTCCAATGAGGGTATACACATTTAATAATATTGATTTTAGACCACATGTTTCTTTAGAAGAAATCCGTTTCAGACAATTTGGAGTCAATTTACAAATCTCGAAGCGAGTAACCGATTTCATACAAACTTTGCACCATAAAATTGTTTTCTTAACGGACTATCCGATTTTAATCATACTTTGTACAACATATTATCTTTACCTAGCCTAGATTAAGTCTGAAAATTGGACCCATTGGTCCACTCCTTTTGGTAAATAAATTCAATATTAGCCGAAAATAATGTCCGATAAAACATGTGTGCAATTCCGCAAACCATTGGTTGAGGGAATATAATGTATCTGTCGACAACAAAACATTTGACTTTCACAACCTGGTTCCAAGCTGTGCCAGAGAATATTTTATCGATTATAGCACCAATCGACACCATGTCTATGTCTATTTTTACATCCACTATCTGATTTCACATTTGTAATCAGCGACCTAGCACTAACAAATTTGTTGAAAAAAAATTTGATTAATTAAATTAAAAAAAAATGACCGACATTTTCGATCCCCCCTATTGAATTTTTACTTCTATCTAGAAGAATCATAATCAGCGCCCACGAAACAACCATATCAGATATGTATTTTTCATACACTCACTGCTTTAATAAGGGCCAAAATATGGAATCGCTGGCACATAGTGAAATGTGGGGATGCAATGAATATAAAAAAAATCTATGGATGAGCTATATGATGACATTTAAAATATTTGCTCCCAATTGAATGCACTAGATTCGTATTATTCTAATATCTGATAGGTATTTTACGATTTTCTAACATTTTAATTCATAACTGGTAAGGAACCTAAAGTCGGACGGCGGGTTATGATACCCTACAGTACATGAGGTGCTGTAAATGAAAATTATCAAATGTCCTATCTAACGATTTTGGTTGTATGTATACAATATTTTATTAATCGAACAGACGAAGTATCTTTGGGGAAGCCTTCTATATATGAACCGACTTCAATCAATTAATCGATATGTCATTCGGCGATCTATGCAACATTTCATATCAATCGGACATACTTAGGGACTTTGGCGTACCATTTATATAAATTAGGATAAAATTATATATTATTGTGGACCGTTTTATAACAAACTTGATAAACGTCATTCGGTGTACTGAACGTTTGCTATTTGGTGCATTATCGTGAAATCGGAAGATAATATATGTAAATATATAAACAATATAGAATTTGCGATGTCGTTTTAAGCTTTGAGAGCTTGAAATAAAACATCCTCAAAATACCCAGAATTTGGGTTACCATTATATCAATCATGGATCGATATTTGTGACCCATTGAGAACCAAATAAAATCCCCAACATATTGAATATTGGGTGTATGTTTATATGATTTTATATATGAAGAGAATTCTAAATAAAAGCCTGTGAGAAAAGTTAATAATCGACTATATGACACCTTTAACCACTTTAGATCCAAGTAAAGACGCTCATACGTATAATAATCTGTCGATAGAACAGGATGGCTATTTACATGGAATCGGAAGAAATTGTATATTATTATATTATATTGTAACAAATGTCTATATCTTTGTAGACCACACACAAAGAAATGAAATAAATGGAGCACTAAATGCATATAGTGCTCCATTTACATAAAATCGAATGAAAATATATATGTTAGATATATCCAGTTTCAATAAGGTTCGTCCTTGTACCAATTAAGTGACTTGTGTCTGTATCTTTGTTTGCAAGAATATATGGACTAGAGATGGACATGTATAAATCGACTTAGAAAATTATTATATGCATATTCTCAAAAGGAACCATGGGTCTCTCCCGATTAATTTTGCAAGTTACATATTATAGTATCCTGTACCACAGTGTGGTGAAAGGTATAAATACAGTTAATCAGTTTGAAAAACTTACCCAAAATACCCAACCGTTATATGGAGGCTATCGTAAAATATAGCAATATATATGTAACATTTCATATCTATACTTCAATATTGCGAGATCCATGGTTATTTCAACATACAGACTGACATGACAAAACGGTAGGGTCGTTTCGAAATAAGTTAGTTGAAAGGAACTATTCTGCTATGCAAAATGTCATATATTGACATTTTCTGGAATGCCGAATTTCAAAATAATAATACAAAATAACACCCTATTAACCCAGGTATGTGCAAAAATTTTAACATTTATTCATATCCACAAAATATTGGTTTAATATACCGATCATCAAATCTTGACTAGCTAAGTGTATCTAGCTATGTGTCTCGGTCCGTCTATCCAATATAATTTGTAATCAAAGTACGGGCCGTATTTTAGACCAATCATTACAAAAGTTTTATCATACCATGGAAGAAAAAATATTGCAGTTCGTATGGAAAAAAGTCCGTCACTACAAGAAAAGTCTGTTTGAAAGAGGAAA